ATGTAAAATATGCATGTGCCTGCTGAATTTAGTAAGTATGGAAATATAATGTAAATAGCATGTTTTGATCTTTATTTCAATGGTCCTTAAGTACATTCACCTATTGCATTGCATTTATGATAGTCAGACTGTCATAACACTGTTAAACATAGAGTTCAGGATTATATGCTTGCAAAATGTGACTCAATTTGTTTGTTAAATTTCTTCTTTCTTAACACGTTTGGTTTGGCACTGTGAGTACTAAAGCTCTGTTTCATATCAGTAAAGCCACTTTGTTCTCCTCTTTGGCTAATTTGTTTTATTATCTGTAAACATTTCTAATACTTCTGGGATATATTTGCCAAGCATTTATCCATTCTTTACTGCATTTTAAATGTCAATGAGGCAGGTCAGTAAGAGACTGCTGCAGAGTTTGGCAGTATGCCTGTTAAGTTGCCAGTGTCAGAATCTGTCTCCACCAAGACAGCAAACTGTTATATGTGCCCAGTAACTCTGAAAAAGGGTGCAGAGTAACTCCGTGGAGAAACTAGAAGAAAACCCCCCAACAAACAACCCAAAAGCCACTATGTATTATAATTAAAAACTACATTTCTTTCTTAAAGAATTTGTGGTCTAGAATGATAAGAGTGGAGTGGCAGGAAGAGTCTGCAGTTATCTCCTATATAGTAGCAATGAAGGCAATGAACGGGAAGTTGTTTCACCAAATGTATCACTTGAAGTAACCAGCTATGACCAATATTTAGTTTGTCAGTTTATCCAGAGCATCTGCTGGTGTAGCATTTGAACAAAATCAATCATATCCCAGTCTGAGGCAGATGAATTCAATTTTACATACCTTAGAATCTGAACTGTACTGTATTTATGAGCTGAGAAGACAGAAAGTTGGTGTTATTAGAAGGTCATTCTGCTGAAAACCATACATAGGTGACCCTTTACCAGACAACTGCTGTTTAGCTACTGACTGGATATTCATTTAAATATTTTCAAGTGTTTTTTCTCCAAGTGGATGAGCAAGAAAATAAATGAAGAGTAAAATACAGATGTTCAAATATATATGGCTCATTAATTAGGTGTATTGCAGCAGCTTTCAATGTTATTCAGGAAATAACAATTTAAAATGAGGATTGTATTTTAAGAGAAAATTTTGTATTCTTTAAAATGACAGTTTCCTACATCAATTAATTCAGTAATCAAAAATCTACATTTTAAAAATCATTGCTCCTCTCACTTCCCATGAGCAGAATGCATGATTTTTTTTCCATTTCAGTTATTTAATAAGTTCTACTGCAAATGTAACATTGCTCTTTCATTTCAAATGAATGGATCCCTGTCTCATCTCAACTTTTAATGAGAAGGTACTCTCTGTGATTTTGACAAGAAAATTTATGTATACATGTGAGTTTGAAGAAGAAAAAAGGTTAAATTGAAAGGTCAGAGTAATCTCATTAAGTTTGTCATTAAGTCTTGAAGACTGAAACACTGACTAGGTCTAAGCTGCCTGAGTTTGGCCATAAAATACCCACTCACTGGGTGGGTCCAAGTGTACTTTCCAGGCTGGAGGGGGCTGGACATTTCTGATCATTAGCAGTGGTTTAGTTGTGTGCCAGGTACCCTTCTGTGTCTCTCTGAAGGCAGAAAGAAGAACAGGAACCCACTGTACTAGACTTGCACAGTACTGGTGTCTCACCACTGATATTGAAAGAGTTTAATAGTGTTATTATCAGTAGTATTGATGTTTCTCCAGTTGCTGTGTTTTTGGTAATAGAACAGTCTTTGTTCTACATTTGTATAGTAACAAAATGTATTAAATTACCAACTTTATTAACCCCCACAGAAGTATAAAACCCTGCCACCAGCAGCAAGAAAGTACTAATTTACTGGTGTTCTCTTTCTCTCTGAATTTTCCAGGTCAGAAATTACATTAAAGGTGTGTTAATTTGACATTCAACTCATGCTTTTCAGTACGCTTAAAAATTCATCCACAGCCCATTGGCTTCTCTAAACTCTGTTAGTCCTGCCAAGCCTTGTTCTGCTTTCAGATTATTGTTTAATCAGTCTCGACTTCTCTGTACAAAAAAAAAAGCAAAAGCTTGTGTAGAAAATCAGTTGTATACATCAATTAAAGTATAGCCTAGACTGCATTTAGTTATGAGACTTGACAAGGTCAAATATTTATTTAGAGTATTAATATGGGAACACATTTCTGGTAGACTGTTACAGCTGATGTGGAGCTGTGGTGATTGCGAGGGCTTTTTGGCTCATTGCTGTATTGGTTTGATGCTGATTTAACCCTTTAAATTCAGCTGAATTGCACTGATTTACAGAGATCACAGTGAGAGCTGAGGAAGACATCATTAATAAAAACAATTACAATTTTAAAATGGCAGGCAAATGCTAAACTGTCCCTTTTAAGAGGACTGCATTGTCAGGCTGTGATCCCTTTCTGAGTCATGGCAGAGAGGAAACCGGCAGAGCTATCATTTTATTGCTGAAAATACTGACCAGTTCATCTGTGTGATCACAACAGAATCTGTAATCCTGCTACTGGCATACTGATACACTCACTAGGTGAAGTGGTTTATGACCTTAATCTGTAGAAGTATTCTAATCAGTAACCTTTAATAAAATAATTCTATGTGCACATTCAAAGCCTCTGAATGTACGGAAGTTTCAGATGGATGCTATTTCTGGCTTGGTCATTGCCAACAGAAATGAGCACTAGGTAGCAGAGTTTGAAAAATTCCTAGAAAACAACTTTCTCAAATTACCTCCAGCTTTCTCATTGACCAAAGAGGAGGAATAAACTTCTGTGGAGTTGTGAGTCAGAGCAGAAGCTGTTACTGAATTGTGCAGTGAGGGTTATTAGGGCACTTGGTTGATTATAAATAATACAGCCTCACTAGACTGTTGTCTTTACAAATATGTTTCTAAATTGCTGTTAAAATGTTCTTGTTCAGCCCCACATTATCCTGAGCTGTAGCTGTGGAACTGCAGGAAGGACTTGCCCAGCTGCAGCTGAGCTGTGGGGGATGGTGGCAGCAGGCGAGGGCTTGACACATCTCTACCTCAGTCTCAGCTTTCAAGAAAAAATTTTGTGATTGTCAGTTAAAATGAAGGTGGAAGTTGAGACAAAAGAAATTATCTGTAACTTGAGAAATATGATGCAAGTCAATCATCACAATGTCATGTAGAAACCCGATACCAGTTCTGTAAAGTAACTTCTCAGCAGAACCACACTTTACAAAATATGTCACTTTTTAAGACAGAAGCAGGACATGTCATTTCAGCTGGTGTAATGTACTGTAACATTTAATTTAATGTTTAAAGTCCATGTAGTATCATTGCCTTGTGTCAGGACACTAACCCTTTACATTAATAGACTTGGCAAAGAGAAGTAAAGGTGTTTCGACTGACAAATACTGAATGTGTGGGGAATAAATTCTGCAGTGACCTGTCATGCAACTCAGTAGTGTCAAATACAGAGTTTTCCTTAGCAGACAGTGACAGAGATTTAGGAGCTCGTAGAGAGTATTAGAGAGAAAGAGAGTCATCTGCCCCTACCTGAGTTCTGCTTTAAGAGTGCTGACATAATGGGAATGATTAGACTTGTGTGGGGATTCTGTGTTGGGACATAGGCAAAGGTGCACAATACAATTTTATGTTGTGTCATGTCACTTTCTTTAAAAATAGTCAGGTTATTTCATTTTGGCACAATCACATTCAGCGAGAGAAATGTCTGATTTCCTTCCTATTGTAGGAAAACCTGTTTTCTTCAAGTCCCAGACAGACTGTTCCCTAATTACACAAATACATAAAATGTCCCTGAGGAGAGAAAAGTCACTTTGTCAAAACAATAACTTAATGGTGTGTATGTACTGTCCCTCTATCATTTCCATACTACCTTTTCTCTCTTTGTTAATTACGAAAAGTTCAGTTAGTCTTCTTCATGCTGTAATGCCATCTTTGTTTCTACAACTGTCCCTAATTCATTGTGCACTTTTGGAATGTGTTGGCCTGGAGAGGTTGCAGTGTGTTGGTCAGTGGAGATACTGAAACCCAGCTGGACACCACTCTGGTGGTGTGGTGCTGTTCCTACCTGAACACGTGGTGTAGGGCAACTCCAGAGGTCACACCAACCTCAACCATTTTGTGATTCTGTTTTTAAATCATAATTTTGTCAGCTTGGGTTCCTCTCAAAGTCTTGTGATCTTAACTTTATATCAAATCTAATATCCACCTGTAGTTGTGCGACCTTGCTGAGGTTTTCTTGCATGTTTTTTTTCCCAATGAAAGTTGTCTTTTCCTCAGAAGTGAAATTTTAGTTCTGAGAAAAAGCTTCTGTAATCCCTGTCTGTATGGAAAAAATTATCTACAAAAATTTGGTCATGAGCAGAATTAGTTACTTGGAATATTTTGGGTGGGAGTGGGTTGAACACTGGTTGTCCAAGTTCAGGAGGGCTCCTGACTGTGTTGTAGCAGTTTTCTTTTTTCACATATGTAGTTCTTCCCACCCTCCTCCAGTGTTAGAAGTTTGGAGCAATCCCAAATTTTTCGAACTAGGATTTTAGTTTCCAAGACAATCCCATCTGTGATGCATAGTCTATAAACCCTCAGCCATTTTCTAAGCCTCACCTAAGGCATAGGAAGGTAGTCTTTCACCTTGCCATCCAAGCAGATGAGTGCCTTGCCTGCATATCCCCAGCTTCCTGCTTGACTCAGGATGACATTTTTTCCTTGCTAAGAGCTACTCAACTGTAGCTGTTTTCCAAATACACTCTTCCCTCTAAAACCATTGTAATGAACTGAAAAGGTGGGTGTGGGTCTGCTTCACGGTTAAGACTTTGTAATTACCAAAAGAAAATAAAGGCATTCGGCAGTTTCATCACATTTCCCCAAAGAACAGATTTGAGTTCAGAACAACTGATGTTTCTGTTTTGCCCCTGACTGAAGTGTGTATGGGCTGGATGGACCTGATGGACCATAATGAGAGAGAATTTATTTTCTTTTTTGTCATCTTCTTGTGTTAATATCATGGGTCTAATATATCTTATTCTCTGTCCTCAGAAAGGCAGTAACAGAGGCTCATAGAGCTGACACATTTGTGTTTCACCTGGAGATAGTAGAGAAAGTCAGAAGGAAAGTTGTGCGGCACATACAAGACTGTAGCAATAGTCCAGTTTAGAAAAAATACTAACACCTGTATACCAAAATAAATCTTTTTTCCTGTGGAAGGCTTAAGATGGCTTTAATCTGTATGTGGCTAATGGTTTGCTTTGTATAAAAATGGCAATTATTATAATGTGGAGTATGAAATTTTGCTCAAGTAACATTATGCTGTGTGCTTATGCTGTGCTGAGCAAGTCCAGTGCTTGCTGATGCAGTCGGTTTGTGATTCAGTGTAGGAGTTCTGCTCTGCAGAAGGCATGCTTTAGCAAGATGTGAAAAATGTTTCCTTCCAAAGAAACTGCTCCAGAATTAAATGCAATATGATAAAAACTCAATTTACCATGATACAATTTGTCAGTGACTCAGTGATAATGGCAGCAGCTGCAAGAAGGTAGGAGCTTTGGGGACTGCTGCAGGGGTGTATGAGACTGTTGGGGAAATGGCTCTGTGCAATAAAGTTGCAGGATAAAACAAATGCTGGTTCTTTACCTAGACAATCCTGATAATGAAGTGCTGCAGAAAATATAAAAAATTTTATTCATTACAGACTGGCCAAATCCATGTAGAGCATAGTTCCTGTCTGGCTTATAAAAAAATCAACATAATATTGTTGAGGAAGTAAAGAAAACCACTTTGGAAAATTCTTTGAGAATGTTGGGATTTTGTTTGGAATTTAATTTATGTGAAACTACATAGTTATTGCTTCTTACCTTTAGATAAAGTTGTGGAGGGGTCCTAGTATTTCCAGTGTAACACCATCAAAAGATTTGATGCATGTAATAATCAAGTGGTAATAAAAAGTAAGATTACAACATACTCTAGAAGAACAATAAGGGGATTTTACATTTGGAAGTATTTTTTTAAGAAGATCGAGAAGACATTTCATCAAGAGCCAACTTGAGTCATATGCTCAAACCCACATGAATTAAGGAGAGGGGAGGATAGCTTTCAGATTAGACATACACTGGAGTGCTACTCCGATTCTTTCAAAAAAGATCCATTTTAAAATCAGACCTATAGCTGCCCATACAACAGCAATCTTCACAAAATTGCACTCACAAATAATTCAGATTGTGAGTACAATCTGCCGTCTCCTGACTGGCGTTTAGATGAAAAGGCAAAAGCATTTATTTCAGCTCTCACTTGAGTAAATTTGATAACTGAATCAGGGAACCAGAAGAAACGCGTATCTTCAGTGATATGTTCACAGAGTCTGTTTCAGAATAAAATAAGCCTTTTTGAAAGCTTGAATGTCATTTTTCTTAGATTCACTGAGATACATGAAGGCATTCAGAAAGAGTGATATAGTGATACTCAAAAATTCTTTCACTGCAGTGAATATGGAACTGTCATGTCTGGCCACTGCTTCAATGCCAGCCCAAGTCAGTGTTGACTGGATTTGTTCAGAATTCTGATACCTCTGAAACACTTTGTAAATAAGCAAATAAATCTAGTTTCAGTGGGCAAATAGCCATCACAGAAATTATCTAGTATAAGAGTAATTTCTATTCATATGGCAGATTTACTGCACAGGGTAAAAAAGTAAATAGAAATGGAGACCAACGTGTTCTTTCAGCTGGAAAGATGTTAGTTACAGGTTATCCTTCAGGCATGCTGAAACCAGTCTCAGGATAAATAGTTTGCAGAGTTGTTCACATGGGCTGTAAATTCACTCTCCTAGATGAGTTACATGAGAAGAAGGGGGACAGTACACAGTAAACAGCACCACATGGCCTGGGCTGATGGGGACTGAGGATAATACTTTCCTGGAGGAGCTATCCATGGGAGGAGGCTGAGATATCATGTAAAACAGTGAAACTCAGCTCTGGACTGAATCCAGATTTTTTTATCTCCATTTGGAAATAAGATGAAAAATAAAAAAGTTATTCATAGGTGGTAAGCACTCCTAGGAGGTATTTGAACCTTACAGCAGAGATTTTTAAGTCCAATATTTGGACTATTTCCTGACTTACAATAAAACAGATTAAATCAACGAATAAAATTAATTTTATATTGGATTATAATAAGTTATAAAGTGATTTATGTTCTCTGGATGGTACCATTCTACTTGTATTGAGAATGACTGTAAATGTTCGTTCTCCTTCCCTCTCTTTAGTCATCCAATAATCCAAGTAATCTTACTGACCTTTGGAGGAGGCAATGATGGAGAGTGCTGCACATGTACCAGAAGTTTCTTGAACTCCAGTAGTTGTAACGGAGCCTTTTATAGGCCATGCAGTTCCCAGAATATTCTGCCAATGGCACAAAGAGCCTTACTGAGGGCAGCAAGAACTGAAGTCTTTATACATAATCCCAAAAGGGTGTCTTAGGGAGAAATATTTGTCACACCTAAGAACTGAGTGTAGCTTGCTCTCTTGTTGGGCTTTGGCCAGCAGGCCTTGCAGCAGTGCTGCTGAGCATCACCAGCGCTTTCTCTCTGTCCCTGTCTCCAAGGTACTGTTGATCAAGATTGTCTTCTGGTTCAATCTGTGCCAGGGATTCCAGCCCAAAGGTACTGGAGTAGCTTTTAAACCCCACTTAACTCTTCTGAAAATCTTCTAATTGCACACATGGTCCTTCTTAAAAATGGCATTTATTTAGAGGTCATACTGTTTTCTTCTGAATGCTCACAAACCATATGTTGCAAAACAAGTATTAGAAAATGTTATAGGAGGCGATGACTTCCCATGGGAATATGCCTGAAACTAGATCATGCAAAAGTACATTTCTCCACTTACCCTTAGTGCTAAGCCCCTCAGTTTGCAAAAGTACATGGAAGATAATTGCCTACTAACTGGGGGGATCTAATCATTTTTATTGCTGGAATTTTACACTGCAAATTCATCTTTTTGATCAGTATAGAACTCCTTGTAGTTTCTTGCAAGAGTGGTAACTGTTGAGAAAAAGGGGAAAAGAAATTTAGTATGAGAACCATTCTAATTATCACAGTATTTTTCTTATTGACACTGCCAGTACAGTTTTGTGTCTATTTGTTTTGGATGTTTCTAAAATCCTCTTAATCTGAGCACATATATAGAATATAAGAAAGAATTTCTGAAGCACAGAAGAGACTCAGTTTTTGTCTAGTGCTAAAGATACTGTCTTAATACTAATAATTGGTCTATTAAAATTGCCTGTAAAATTGTAACTTCATTTTGCTTCTGAAGTACCAAAGATGGTCCTGGAAAAAGACTATAATTTATATCAAAAGGGTATCATTTGCATTTTCGAGTCTAATATAAAATTAATTTAATTCCACTTCATTTCTTCTTATAATTTTCTGTGACATATAAACTCACTTTTAATTACAAAGGAAAAATATCTAGCAAAACCATGTAAGGCAGTTAATCTCATGCCATCATATAGCTGTTTGTCAAAATTTTCATTAACTTAATCAATATTTGATGATGCAAAATGATTTTTCTCTAGTTGGTTGGTTTTACAGCTTTGTGATTGCAGAGAAATTTATATAGTATGCTAGCAAGAATAACTTCTTGGCATAGGAAATTCATTTCTGTATCAAATTAATGAGTAAGTGGAGACTTTTCCTTGAGGAAAAGAGGCAATGGGAAGATTAGTATATGTTTCCCTCATGTTAACGATATGGGAAAACGTAATGAATCTGTTACACAGATGCAAAAGTCAAATAGATTTATAAACCTGTGGCTTAGATTTGCTTTCAAGAACTTGGAAAGTGAAAAGATCCTTCTCCAAACTCTGTATTTAGAATGGGTTAAGTTGGTTAAACCATGTCCTTTTCAGGGCACTTGGCACTGAACGTGTCACTCCTTCTGACATTTCCTGGATAAACCTCAGCTGCCCATATTTGAAGAGAGAGAAGGCTGTTTCTGCATGCCAGAGACAGCTGTCATCTTTAGGCTAAAAATTCTTTTGGTGATAGCAAATGAAATCTCAGTCAGATTTTTCTAAGGTGCAAACTGACAGGCACTGGTTTCCTTCTGCCATTTGTGTGTGTAGGCTGCTGAACTACCATGGGAATGGAGGGAGCTCTTACAGCAACACACTTCGTCTCATTACAGCAACACACATCATCTCACATGAATGCAAAGGACACTGTGGGAAAAATACTAGGGTGCTGCAAAATGTGTAGAAGGGTATTTTCCCCCTGAAAATTAGATTCAGACATTAAAATGTGACCCTGTAATGTCCTTCAGTCCGGTTTGCAAGATAGTCACTGTTTTCTGGAGCTAAAGCTGTAGATTCCGTGAAAAACAAGTGCATCTCTAACTTAATTGCCAATAAGTCTATTGAAGCACCATCATGTGGATTTTGTAATGTTCTTCTATATATTTAATTTAGCATACACCTTGGGAATGCTGCTGAGAATATCCAAATGGTTTAGAGAAGACACGACAACTGCAATCAATACCATTTCCTAATTTTCTCATCTGTGGTTCCATAATACTACTTTGCAAGCATTATATACATTACACCCCAGAGTTTACCTGAGTCAGGGCAGCCCTTCCTTCTCCTCCCAGTAGCATAGCAGCCTTTGTAGCTGGTTTTTTTTTAAGATAAGATAATGTTTAATTTCTTGATTTTGTCTGTGATATATGTATATATGTCTCTTTGCTTGCCTGTATTCCCATTGAAACATATACCTCTGTGTGTGCTATTATCATCACTTGTGAATTGCTTTCAAATTGTATATATGAGCAACATCCTAGAATGTCTTCAGGCATAAGTACATAAACCATTTACAAATTTATATGATGCACACACATATTCTCATATAATGGGATGGGGATATGGAAAAGGGACATAAGATGTTTTCAATTATAGGTAGCAGGACAGATTAGTGAGCATAAACCTGAAGCACAAATCAATAAATGTCTGGCAAGATCCTTCTTAGGTAAGAGATGGAACATATGAAAGTATTTTCTTGCTGCATCTTCTAGATTATCCTATAATCTTAAAATGCTAAAGCAAAGATAATAAGCTTATTTACACAGAGTGCAGTGTAGCCCTCACAAAAGCAAGGAGGGTGAATAATTTTTTTAAAAAACTCAAACATGCAAACTCTTAAAGTATTTCTCACACATAATTTTTTTTTGCTTTTCTGTTGAAAAAACGAATGTGCAGGAATTCCAAATTTTACATTCTCGCTCTCTCCTTGTTTATGTTTTGTACTCCGTTTTTCAAAGCATGCACTTCTCCGCTGTGGAATATGACCCTCGGGGAGTCCCTGAGCAAAGCAACTAATAGTCATTAAAAACCTATTAAACCTAGGAATCCTCCTGTTGCAAAGAGAATTCAAACAAATTTGGCCAGAGCAGTCAAAAAGCAGCGGGGATTTGGAACAGTGTACAGGGTTATAAATATCAGCAAAGACAAGCAGAAACGACTGTACAAGTGACAGAAGTAAAACAGATGACAAAAATCCAGGCTTATTCACAAGTATTGAAGTTACTCCTTGTTCAGATTTGGCAGGAAAATATTGCACCATCTTCTGTCCTGCTGTGACAGTGCTTCAGTGAAAACAACTATCCAGATTAATGCATCACTGCCACATTTCACTGCTCATCAAGTGTGTTTCCAGTAATATTTTAGAGACTCGGCTTCAGCTTCTACCTAGATGCAATTGAAAGCTCCTTCTTTTATAGGTGCTACAAGCTGAGTCTACAGTCATCAAAATAGTTCCCTTTCCTATATTCTATTCCAGTGACAGAAGTCAGTCCAAGTGTTTCTTTTTTATACACTGCTCAAAGAAAACTCATAGTGTAGTGTAATTGTTGAACTGCCTGTTCCATTATTTGTGCTGTTCTAACAGCAGATTTATTGCCTATGTCAGTCTCGTGAACTCTTCATTAGATCAGTTCAAGCTTCTTAGCATACAAACCTTTCCTCATATTTCTGACATTCCCATTTTTATCATTATCTGAAAATGGGAGTACATTGCAGAATGTTATTTGTGCTAAACCAGAGGTTTCTGCATATAAGCACGATCCAGCTTCCCTACAGGCAAGCTTGGGGTCTGGATAAATAACACCCTTCTTGAAGCATGATGTATAAGTCTGTCTTTTCTGTTCTTTTGCTGCAATACTTCCATATAGTGAAATACCTTTTCTTCTTTCTCAAGTAGATTCTCTCTCTTTTCTAATCTGTAGAGTTATTCTCCTATCATTATACCTGACGACAACATGAACCTGATTCAAGGTTCATCTCTTCCAGATATGTGTCAGCAGCAGCAGAGCGTGTGTTTCAACCTCCCACTTGTATTGAGCTGCTTCTCTCACCCTGTGCTCACTCCCCTTGGAGTGCAGGGGCAGGATGCTCCTCAGTGCCCAGCAAAGGTAAGCTCCAAGCTCCACAGAACTCTGATTTTCTTGTCAGCCCAATTTGACAATATCAGCATCTCCAGATATGCAGAGTGGTTTTGATGGATAGTGCACCCACACAATATAAGATGCTGCTGGAACTTAAGGTTATTTGACTCAGAGAATTCTCGTAAAATCTTAGATTTACTGGAATTTGTTGTGTTACCTCAATCTATCTGAAAAACCAACATTCCTATAAGAGGTGTTTTTCCTGTATCACAAACTTCTGGGGAAATATTTCAAGTTTATTCTTAAAAAAGATCACAGAGAAGGAGATGTTGTGTTTAGTTGGAGATTTTTGTTCCTGTGCTTTCAAGGATTCACTCTCTAATGTCTCTTACAGCTGCTACGTGGTATCTGCTGTAAGGAGGCTTAAGTGCTTAGGCTGCAATAAGGCCCAGATTTGCATCTCTCTCACATTTGTGCAAGTGAGTTCCAGAAAGGTAGGTGGAATAATACAAGAAAATAGTTATAGAAAGCAGAATCAGCATTAATCAGCTAAGGTGTATTAAAAGATTATGGGTCAGTACTCCAAAGGTGGATCTGCAGCATTTCATTGAAGATAATGGATCTACTGTGAGTTGGACTGGCTGAAGATCTGGCCCTAGGTCACACAAAAATTTGATATATAAAAATTTTGCCTGAAGAATTTACACTGCTTTGAAGCTTTATACTGTGAAGGATTTTAGGTGGTTTATCAGTAAGTACTTTTTCACCATGAATATCTGCAGTAGTTTGAAAGTCCAGACTCTTCAAATATCTAAACTTGCTTTAATATGCTTCACATTTAAAAAAATGCGTTTTACTTACTTTACTTTAAAAAAAAAAGGTGTTCTTTTTGAAAGAGGAAAGACATGAATGAGAGAAAACTTGTCAAGATTATGACAATCTTGACATGTCTCAAATCCATTCAGGAAGTTAACAAGTCAAGGTTTCAATAGTTCTGGTAGTTTGGTAATATTGCACAATATTCTTGTCTGTTCTTGCTTTTCTTGTCAATTGTGATACTGTAATGTGAAAGATGCTATGCAAGTCATGCTAGACAAACTTAAATAGCATCTAATAGCATCATTTAGGTAATAAGTCCTTTATTCAGGAAAATGAAAAAGGGGAGAATTTGGTTAAACCTCATAATTTATTTGTCCCATAGCCATAGTAGGATTTTAAATACCACCGTCCTATTCCCTGTGTATGTGTGTTAGGAAAGCCTGGGTTCACTAGATCATTGAAGTGTATAATTTACCATAATCGAACAAAGTATTTTGTGAGTATATTTTGAAAGAGAATTTGTACAATTTTGTAACTGGCCAAACTGGACATAACTGGTTGTGTTTCCATGGTTGTCTCCAAATATGACAGAAATCAGTACAGTCACAGTGGGGCCAGTGCAAGGCTTTGAAAACTTGCTGGGTCCGTTTAACACTGGCAATGTTTACTAGAGGCTATATTTACATTATTTTCAGTTGAAAATTGATCTACTAGTCTGCTAAACTTCTGTGGAAAGTGTGAGCAGAAGAGAGTGGGGGAGAGCAGAGGAGACTCCCTTCGTCTTAGTCAGAAAACGTTATCCGCTGAACCAGCTTTGACAGCCATAAAATCTTCTGAGATGGAGATGTAGACAAATGGTGGTTATAAAAGGAAAGATGTAAGGAAATGTTTTTTACCTCTATTTTATTAATGTATTTTCTAGAGTACTGTCTATTGAAGACAATGTCAATAGACCAAAAAGGAAAGGAGATACAAATTAGTGCATAGCAAACATGACTCACGAGTACATTCAAACTCCAGTTTGTCCACACGACAGCGTGAGCGGAGCTCTTCACTCAGTGCCGTGGACACTAGGGTGTGACACGTGCTTCATAGAC